CTTCTTCCTCCACAAAGGCTCCTGGAATCTCTGTCTGACAGTTTGAAACCAGACCATTGTGTTACTTTTTGATTTTACCTTATCTATCTTCCTTGCTCTCACCTTATGTTCTCTCCTAACCTACCTCCTCTCTCCTTTCGTAGGAATAATGGGTAAGTCCCTCATTTTCCTACAGTCCCCCTTGCATCTTCCAGGTTGTCCCTGGATGGTTATGGTTACTGAGCCCTGGATGTGTAGGGGTTGACCTCCTATCATTCTTGGCGGTCTTACCTTATCCTATCCTTGCAACGTAATCTGTTTTTAGAGAGTTAAATGCTTTTTCATAATCCAGAAAAAACAGGCCCAATGACCGATTATAGTCATTAGCTTTCTTAATTAACTCATTAATAAAAAAAAAAATGTGGTGCAGAGTAGAATAATTCTTCCTAAAGGCTGCTTGATGTTTTTCTAGTTCTACATCCACTTTGTCTTCTATTCTATCAAGTATAAAGTAGGATTTAGGAAATATTTTATATAAAAATGAGAGCAGACTTACAGATCCAGATGTGTAGGGGTTGTCCCTCTATCATTCTTGGCGGTCTTACCTAATATACCTTATCCTTCTCATCCTATCTAAACTTATACACCCCATCCTTACAAAGGTAAATAGATACACGAAGACCAGGTTAATTGACTAACAGAAAAGGTTAGAAGGACAGATTTCAGATTTTGAAAAACAAACGTCAACGATAACAGACAGACAGAGATAAAATATTACAAAATATATATTATTTATATTAAGATATAAATATTTAACATATTTATAATGTAATCTGTTTTAGTTAAATGCTTTTTCATAATCCAGGTAAAAACAGGCCCAATGACCGATTATAGTCATTAGCTTTCTTAATTAACTCATTAATAAAAAAAAAAGTGGTGCAGAGTAGAATAATTCTTCCTAAATCCTGCTTGATGTTTTTCTAGTTCTACATCCAATTTGTCTTCTATTCTGTCAACTATAAAGTAGGATTTAGGAAATATTTTATATAAAAATGAGAGCAGACTTAATAGGCGATAATTATTTAGATCTCTCTTACCTCCTTTCTTTGGCAGAATTTTGAGTTTTGCAGTTTTCCATTCTTCAGGAAAGCTTGCATTCTTAAGGCATCTATGATATCAGTGAGTGCACAAACGGATCCAGGATTTAATTTTGGGGGGATTCAGCCCGAAAGATTTTTTTTTCAAATATATAAAAAAAACTGTACCACTACAACCCATAAAGGGTCTGGGGTTCAGTACTATTTAGGGAAAGCACTGTTTCTAGGTCCACGGTTGTGCAAGGAGGTGATTTGACCGAGATCACGCTCAACCGCCAGGTTTTTCCCCCCTAATTAATTATATAATTAAGGGTACCCACTTTATAGAGGCTGGGTGTGCCCCAGGAGGGACTCCTGACCCAAGGTCGCCCCACGGCCAATGAAACAGATAAATAAATTTTCTGCCATGAGCCGGGGTTCGAACTCAGGACCTTTGCATTGGAAGCTCAGTGCCCTACCACTGAGCTACCCCGCTCCCCTTTCAAATATAATTAATTTTTAAAAAAAGAAAGAAATTAACTACCTATATGAAATGGTGTTTAAGTGATTCTTGAAGTGCTATTAAATGTAATTACATGAATAATAATACTTTAAGAGGTAGTTTTTAATATTTTTTCTATAAAACATGGTTATATTTTACCGTTTTGGAGGGGAGGCTTCAGCCTAAAAGGCTGTTAATCTTTCTTGGGAGGTTTCGACAGTTTCCGTCTATCATGGAATTCTCTTCCTTAATCTGTTCAAATACGTTTTTTAATGGGTCTGTTATTTCTGTAACTTAGGTTGAAGGTGTCATCTCTTGATTTAAATTTAGCAGAACTGATTTTAACTTATCTTCAAAATTCCCTTTTATTCAGGTTTCTGATTTAGTTTTGCTGGCTCTCCTATTTTCTTTTTTATGTTTTACAGTGGTGAATTTTGTATTCAACATTGCCCCAAATGATCTGTGATCACTGCCAATGTCAGGGTGACTTAAAACTTCCACATTGATCACTAATTGTTTATTTTTAACAATTATGAAGTCTATTTTATTCTTTGTCTTTTTATCTGGGCTCTGCCACGTCCATTTGTTATTAGGATTTTTTTCAAAAAAGCTATTAGTGAAGTAAAGACCATTTACTTCTACAAACTCAATAAGTCTTTCTCCTCCATTATTCAGTTCATTTATTCTGAATTTAACACATATATTTTGAGTTACCTTCACAGTTTATTTTTGAATAAAAATCTCTGATTAATATTAATTGATTATACTTGCCTTCATCAATCACTATTTGCAGATTTAAATAAATTTCTTCAATCTCACTTTCTTCTGCATCTGTACTGGGAGCATAAACCTGTATTATTTTAAGTGTTGTCTCCTGAATTTTATTTAGCTCTAGTACAGCCTGGAAATACAATGAATGTATGTTTTGATTGACCGTAACTTAATATCGATATTTCTATTTATAAGGAACCCAGTTCTGCCTTGTCCTTTTACTGTACCATTATAATAGAGTGTTATACCATAACTCATTTCTAACAGACCAATAAGAGACCAGTTCATGACTTCAAATTTGTTTTTTAACTCAGTTAGTTGAGAATCCGCCATTAATGTTCTATAATTGTAGGTGATTATATCCCACATTTTGTTTCATAATAATTTTTTTGTTTCATTTTTATTTATTATCCTGTCGAAATTTCCATTGACATAACCTAGGTTGCTCTTAAACTGCTAAGAAGTCGTTACAGAGCTTGAGGTTACAAATATTATATCAAATTTTTTAGCTGTAGTTTCTTTTACGAGATTATGTTACTTTTCCAACCTCATTTGTGGCCTGTTTGAAATATCTTTCTAGACTGCTGCTTCTTAATTTCCAAGAACTATTTATTTTCTTAGTAACCTGTTTTTTTCATATGCAAGTCTTCTATCTCATTTTTCTGAGGTGACTCAGCCTTATTTTTGGGAGTGTATTCCTCACTTCTTTGTCTTTCGATGCAATTTCTGATTCTATATTACTGCTTGAATCTTCAGATTTAACTCTTCTAATTTGTAAATAACACCGTCAATAAATGCTCTACCCCCTATATTTTACTATCCTTCCATTTTCAAGAGCTATTTTAATATATGGCCATAATTCTTTCTTGGTTTCTCTCTCTTGAGGAGTATAATCGCAAGGGAACTTCAAATTTGATTTAAGTTGCCAGCTTGTATTCAAACTCTGTATTTTTTTTCTCATTGCTAAAAATTTTATCCACACTGGCCTATTCTGTTTTGATAGTGATTCCAATCTGGTGATCAAGTCAAACTCTGAAAGCCTAAGATTAATTTTCAAATTGTTATTTATAGCATTGACTATAGTCTCTTCCAGAGACGTGTTTCATTTGCGATATTTTTAAAATTATACAGTATTCGATTTTTTTCTCTATTAGAATATTTTTTTGACTCTATAGTTTGGTTCTTTTTAAAGATTTTATTTAAATGCAGTTTTAATAGGTTGTGTGACCATTCTCAATTTTCTAGTTTTGATTTTAGTTGGTTCATACCATATACAATATTTATGTATTTTATTTTATCTTTAGTATTGTAATATTTCATTTGTATTATTTAGATAGATAGATAGAAAAATAATTTTATTCTGGGACACAGTCCCTTGAGAATAACAAAATAGAACAAAATTAAAAGATCACATCTGGCCAAAATAAAATCAATCGAAAAAAAGAAATAATGTAAATATTCTATATACAAAAAACGAAACTATATACAAAACAATTAATACTATGACAAGGCACTTAAAGCTATTTGCACTGATAGACTCGTATACACTTTTGAGAAAATAATAAAGAATTAAAATTAAAAATGTATCAATGACTCAATCAATGAATTTGTATGTATCAAATTCTCTATTAAAATCAGCTCGAATGGTTAGCAACTATCTGACTGTTCTTGGGATAGGAATTGGAATAGGAGGGTTTTGAATTTGAATATGGATGGGGAATGTCGAATTTTGATAGGGAGGGAATTCCAGAAATTGACAGAGCGAACAATAAAGGAATTTTGGAATGAGGCAGATCTGTGAGAAGGCATGTAAAGGTTAGAAGGTCGAGATCTTGTGGACAGGGAATGGACTGAGGATTTGAACTGGAGAAGGTTGTAGGCGTAAGAAGGACGATGGCTGTTGATGATTTGGTAGAGGAACGTACCTAAGAAATATTGTCTTCGGAAGGAGGGGAAAAGCCACTTTAACTCAGCGTAGTAGTGAGAAACATGGGAGTATCTTGGGGCCCCGATCACAAAGCTTACGCAGCTGTTCATTAGTCTAGTATTTACAAATGGAGTTGGGTAGCTCAATGAGTAAGGCACTAGGCTCCTATGCACTACCAGGGTGATACTAGTCTGGCTATGACAGGTTCTCATTTATTCTGTTAATTTAACAGTGGATTGACCTTGGAAAACAAATTCTCTATAAAGAGGACACTCTTGATTAATAAACTAATTTGGAAGAAAACTTGGTGGTTGAGTGTGATTTTGGTAAGATCACCTCCTTGCACAACCTTTGATTAAGAAACAGTATCTTCTAATAAACTTGGAGTTAAGGCCAAAAAAACAAGGGTATTTTAAGGAAATTATCAACCTACCAGGATGATACTACTCCTTTTAGATAAGATAAAAATGTTCCTTTGCCAACCCAGACTGGTTGATTTAAATTTGATTTGGATGTGACCCCATAAACAACAAAGGAGGGAACACTGTCTACCAATCTAAACTGGTTGATTATTCTGAAAAGAGGCGAATCAAAAACCCACTTTTAGAGGGAGAGATTCCCGCTTTTTTAGACAAATTATCATTTTAACATCACATGGTTTATATTTATAAATATTTATTTTAAATCTAATTCAAATACCACCTTTAAACCTGATATTAATCAATTCTATAATAAATATACTCACTTCTTTGCCGAAATGTTACAGTAGCATTTCACATCTGCAAAGAAATAATACAAAGAAAAATTAAAAAAAAAACACATACATATATATAAACAAATCAAATAAGTATAAACTAGATTGATGTGCAAAAATAGTTCAAACTTGTCACTGGCATGAATTAATTGCAATACTTTCCCTTACTATACATTACATATATAGATAAGTGAAAGTAAAAACCTGTAGTGGTGCATGTACATCACTTATCACTGGCATGAATTCATGTCATAAAATCTGAATGAGCCTTTTTCATGTTCAATCTCGTGCTGAGAAATTAAAAGAACAGAGAAGTGAAAAAAAATGTATGCAAGCCTAACAGAAGGAAAATTTAAAAAAATCTGTAGTAGTACATGTATTTCCCACAACAGTATGTCCAGTGTTTCCCTTCCGAAAAATACCTGTACGTTTCCCCATTTTTTTTCAGGTCTTCCCTTTACTCACTATTTTCTCTTTTCAGTGTAACATATTAAAAAATCATATATCATAAAAAATCTTGCACACGTAAGGATGAATGACACAGCTCTACTCTGTAGATATATAAAAGAACAGAGAAGTGAAAAAAAATGTATGCAAGCCTAACAGAAGGAAAATTTAAAAAAATCTGTAGTAGTACATGTATTTCCCACAACAGTATGTCCAGTGTTTCCCTTCCGAAAAATACCTGTACGTTTCCCCCTTTTTTTTCAGGTCTTCCCTTTACTCACTATTTTCTCTTTTCAGTGTAACATATTAAAAAATCATATATCATAAAAAATCTTGCACACGTAAGGATGAATGACACAGCTCTACTCTGTAGATATACTCTACAGATGTACTCTTCAAATCTTGGATTGTATCAATACCTAATTGCCTCATCCAACTAATGTATCCCTTATTAACCCTTAAAACAGCCAGTATTATGATTTATTTCCAGAAAGTACATTAAATTTAAAAGCTAGTAAGAATCATTAAATGTATAAAATAAAAATAGTTACATTGCAAACTATACAAATTCAAGAGATTCAGCAGTGTGTTAATTAATGAGTTTAGATTTATTATTATAATAATATACATATTAATAGTTAAATTAAAATAAATTAATAGTTAAATTATTAATAATTAAATTAATAGTTAAATTAAAATAAAAATAGTTACATTGCAAACTATACAAATTCAAGAGATTCAGCAGTGTGTTAATTAATGAGTTTAGATTTATTATTATAATAATATACATTTATGTCTTGTAAAAGAGCACATCTTATGCGTTCTGACTACAGAATCAAGGAAGTAAAAATAAAGATTATATAATTATTTGGATTTTGCTTAAACTCAGATGAGGTTTTTTAAAAACGTAATTAAGTAATTGGGCCCATGTTAATCCTGCAAGACTATTTCCAAGTTGTCTCCTGACCCTCGGATATACATGATGAATTTCTTTTCTCTAAGGAGCCTCATCAACTCGAACTTGATTGAACCATCCCTATGGTGCCAATGTGTTATGCGGAGGGAGTTGTTGGGGGTATTTTCCCAGCACATGGGCTGGTGTGTGTTTCAGACTCTCTGCCGCATTTATGCATTAAATCGACGATGATTATCAAAATATAATATCAGATCTAGAGTTATTAAACTATAGCAAATGTATTTAAGGTTATAAACATATTTTTACTTTCACTTACCTATTATAAATGGAATATATAGTAAGGGAAAGTATTTCGATCGTGAAAATTTATGAATTTTAGTTTTCAACAGAAATACATGTTTTGAGTCGAAATAACCAAGTCCCGCAAAATGGTCGGTGTGTGTGTGAACATCCTAGATAAAAGATGAAAAGATCTACAAAACTTAAATTGTCTATTTGAGATTTTTATATGGTTCTGATGTGACAGCAACTTTTTCGTTAAAATCGGCTAACCGGAAGTGCCATTTTACATCAACGATGATACATATTTTTACGATTTTGTCAAAAACGGCTCCAATGATTTTGATTAAACTTGGTATATCAGTATATTATTAAGTTGATTTTAATATCAGCTAGGTCTTATCCACATTAATGTCACTTTACAGAGCTTAAATGCCCAATGTTCACATACATCTTCCTCTACAGTACCTTTTAATTTGTTTTATTTTTAAAAACCAACTCTCTCTCTTATTGACATTAACTAAAAAAAAATGGCTAAATATAAGTTTTGAAAGAATTTGATAATTGAATAAAAGAGAAAAATGCTTATCCAGGTCGAAAATGAATAATAGTCAGAAGGTATACACATAATATATCATTGGAAAGCGGAGAATTTTAGAAAAAACAATATCTAACATAGAAAGTTTTGAAGGTAACGGAGAGTGGCGAAAAAATTATAAATAATAATTTCTGAAGACTATTATTATTTAACAGATCACGTGTTTTCAAGAAAATTAAATGAAATTCACTAACTAAATGTAAACTTTTAAAATTTTAAAAAAGTATTTAAAATCCACCTAATCAAGGTGTTCAGTGATCAATATTGTTAAATGAATCTTGTAAATATATACAATATTCACATATTATTATTATACTGACTCAACCTCACATGGGAAATAAACAACAAATATTGATTAGTAATTGAGGATTAAAAAAAAAATCTATGTCTATATTACACCAATTTTATATCACCCTGAAAAATTAAAAGGACTTGCTAACACAATAAATACATACAAGAGGCTAGGAAATTTAACTCTCTGTAAACTTGGCCAGTTTGGATAAACAGAAAAAAAATTAATTTTAAAGAACTAAGAAATTTATAGCAGTTCAATATTATATTAAAAATATATAAATAATATAAGTATAATTAAATACTCAAGACAAAAATATTATAAAAGGAAATTATCACTGTACCTGTTAACTCATCTGCCCACATATAATAGTTGCATTTTTCATCATCGTTTTTAGAACAAACCAAAAATTCTCTTCCATTATTAGGACCCTCTTTCCTGGTGACGAGTCTATCAAAGAATAATAAGTTAATTTCCAATATATTGTAGTAATTTTTGTAGGTATTTATTTATTAAGAATTGATTTATAGAGAAGGTTTTAGAAGAGCAGCGGTATTCCAGTTGTGAGAATGTTTGAAGTCAGTGAATTGTTTAAAAAGAAGACTGTTATATGTGATAAGATTATATAATAATAATGTGTATATTTTTTTAATATGAAAAAAAAAATTATATACACTGTTAATAGGTTTTAGACTCCATGGTTTGCTTTACAAACCCTACAAAATATTTCCAAACAAATATATGATGCCAAAAAATCTTTACTTCATTGCACGCACGCACACACACACACACACACACACACACACATATATATATATATATATATATATATATATATATATATATATATATATATATATATATTTTCATTTTTAAATAAAATAAATGCAACGAAACCACAGTATGTGGAAGCTCCTGAGAATGAATCTCATATCATGGCAACACTCCCTAAAGGTAATACTGTCTAGGCATAAAGACTACGCGGAGATAACTGTATAAATGCAGCATGGATGATAGACAGAATATTTGCTTTAAATAGTATATATTATGTTTGTTAGCTTATATATATATAGTGTATTGTGTGTTAAATTTGTTGAGAATAAAAAATGTGGTGTTTTCATTACGAACCGTCCCACTTTGTATATGTAAAATAAATTATGACAGTCACTAAAACTTTTTTATATAATAGAGATATAAGAATATGAGTGAGGTTTACATATACAGAAACATTGAAATGTTTTAGAGATAATTTGGAAACCTAACGAAGAATTTTTATAATCCTCATTCCAAGGTAGGACCCGATCTAATAACATGAAATGACAACTTATACACACACATAATTTTGTAACATCTACTTCAAACTTAAATATTCAATATTTGACTCTAGAATATCAAGGATAGAGATGGTCTGGGGTGGCGGTCATAAAAAAAAAGTTTAAAATAGTGGAAACTATTTTATTAAGCCAATGTTTCGACCTAACTATGCAGTTCTTCATCAGGGTTAAAATAACAAGATACAAATGCTATGGCAAACTGTAGGAGTTACAAGATATTTAGATAAAAAATTATGAAAATAAAAAGTATTAAGAACATTATATATAAAACCAAGTAACTATATATTATAATAGAGTAAATTAAAAATGGTAATAATAAATATGGACAAGAAAATACTGAACATAAAAAAAAAAAAAAAAAAAATTGGACAAGAATATATACACTGGTGTGAAAGTCTTTGAGCAAACCAAATTTTTATAAAAATGCTCAAAGTTTCAATTTAAAAATGTTTTTATCTTCTCAATTGTAAACTGATTTAAACTTGCAGACATTGTAGATGTAATATCCACACATATATTATACAGTAAGGATCGAAATCGGTTTTGTAGCAAATATAAGCTCCTGTTATGCTGAAATACCCTGAATGGGGTACTGTTGGATTCAGAATTTCACAGGGGGTTAGCGAATCGTATTCTTCACTTTTGTTTTTCTTTCTAAAATAAATAAAGTCGATACAAACATTTTGCTAGGCTTCGACACTGGAACGGTGGTAGGTCTGTAGATCGATACAGGACAAATTGGATCTTGAAGATTTTGATGCGTACAGCAAGGCCCGGATAGTTCCTCTGGAACTATTGGATCCTGTGTTTTTAAGCCCAAAAACGTACTATTTCCGGGATAACGTAAGGCATAGGGTTCGCATCCATACAACCTTACATTAATTGTAGTACTGTCATTGAATACATGTCTCATTTCGTCGATTTGAGGTCTCTATGATCGAGAGAGGAGGAGTTTATATTACTTATCGATGGTGTTTTTGATCGGCAAGCCATATCATCATTAATTTTTCACCAAATCTCAAGATTGAGCCTCCGATTTCGAAGGCTTCCTTCTTCTTTAGGCGGAGCCAATCACCCCGAAAATTCAGGCAAACAAGTTATGAAAGAAAACACACTTTATTTGTGAATAACTAAAAAATTACATACTTTTCCCTTGGTTGTGCCCATGATTATATAAAACATTACTAAATTGTCTACAAAAGGAAAAAAAAATCATCGAAATCGGACAATTTTTAGCAAAGATACAGCTTATTGAAATTTGTAAACATGTTGGTCCCAAACATTAATGAAGATTTAAAATAATTTTTGTTTCCTTTGTCGTTTATATTTATCGATAAAGTAACAATTGATTTTTTTATCTTTTGATACGTTGCATTATTTTTTTTTCTTAATAATTAGGCATCTGAAAGAATGAACCCATGTCTGAACCAGTAGCGTACCCTAAATTGCCAGATTTACAAATTCCTCCAGATAAAAATATGCAAAATTTTTTATTTCGAAATTAGTGAATTATGAGGACGAATATCATGGAAACTATAGAATATAGCAAATAAATTAATAAAACCATTTCTATTGCAAATTTTGTCAGGTTTAATTTCACATATCACACTATTATAGATATAACGCATTGTTCACTGATGTAAGTGAAAAAAGTAAACCTTTTGAATTGTAAATTAAATTTTTCAACTTGAAATCTACAAGTATGGGGTGACTGACTATTATTTCAGGTCTTAAGATAGCAAATAATATAAATTGAAAGTGTTGGTAGCTTTATATATCTATAAGCTCCCTCTTTATGTATGCTTGCAACCTATGTAAGGTCACTTGTATCTTCACATGGCAGCCATTTTGTATTCCATAAGCTATGTGCTGGCAGATATGCATTTTTCTCATCAGGCCTGTGGATATGGTTAATTCATAAGAACAAACCTTAATATGAAATATGACACATTTTTTGTCACAGGCTCTAGGACTATAAGAAGCACCAGGGGTTCGACGAACGGGTGCTTGCCAGCCAATGAATTGCTAAGACCGTTGCCACATGCTTTAAATAAAAATATAATTTAAATAATATACAGGTATCAATAGTTCGCCAATATTAACAGTTGAAAATCAGAAGGCAACTCAACCGCTCCTCAACTATCTGTAGAATGGAATTTTTGAACAATACTACTAATCGACAATTGGATATCTCTAAACTAAATTTCTGATTTCTACAAAGTTCAAAACTGAATATAAAAAAAAAAAAAAATCCCACAAAGGACCCATATTGGCATCAGCCTACATTGGAGTTATCAATTCCCAAGACTTTTGCCATCTCGATGGAGGTCATGGTTTTCAGTTGTATTTTTAATATTAATAATTAATGTGTGAAGTAAAGAGAGTAATTAATAATGATTTAGAGTTTCAATTTATTTATCTCTCGATAAATTAATGGGAGAACGTAAAAAACTATTTATCAAAATAAGATTTTTAATAAGTGGGAATAGCGATGTGGTTTTATAGTTTATAACAATATTGAAGGACTTATAATAATCAAGACTGCAGCTTACATTAATTTCTTCGAATTAGAATATCGTATATAACAGTTATAACGATATATCGGCTTTAACGACGAAATGGCTCAATGATGATCGATGATATCAATGGCTTTTATAACATGGTTTTGAATGGATATAGCGATTGGATTTGCTGGCTCAATTTCTTAGTTTTTAGAAAAAATTATCGTAAATAGCGACAGTTGAACTCCTAAAAACCTTCGTGTTTATATATCACTTATCAAGGAAATATTTTATTTCATTCGTTCTCTATGTAAGAATCACATTTATAGGGCCAATTTCATTCCCCCACTCTTAGAGTTAAATTCATATTTCTGTTTAGTAGTTTAATAACAATTACGAAGAGCAAAAGTTCTAGATATAAGAAAAATTCTATATTGTAGTATCTCACTTATATTTTATAAATAATAATAACATAACCTCGGAAGCTCACTTCTTACCGTTGGGATACTTCCTAAATAAATAAGAGGTTGTTAAATAATAAGCACAATTAGAAGAGTATTAATATAATAAACTGAAATATACAATTATTCTATCTCAGGTATGGGTTACTGACAATCAGATCAACTCAGACAATCTATTATTATTTACACTATTTATACTAAAATTAAACACTGATATAAAGTCAAATATGGATTGGCAAGCTAACCTTTTTTCTATAAACAATGTTTCTTCCTTAGCTGCATTAAATTCATTTGTCTTCAAATGATTTCCGATCTTCTTCCAAACACAACCCCCAAGATGGTAATACTATTACTGAGTTTTACCCATTGGAGCCAGGATCCCTTCTCCATCCTCTCTTCACCCCAGCCACACAACAACTGTTTGCCAAAACAAAAACCTTTGTCCCTCTCCTCTTTGGGATTTTCCTTCTTGGGAAACTACAGAGCAGCCATTTTCTTTTCCCTGCACTAGTAGAACTAGATTAGCTTGCCTTTTAATTGTTCAACATTAATTTATTAAACCTTTTTTACTCACTTCCAATAAAGGTGTACATTACAATATATGTTGCTGACTGGAGACTGAAGAGTCTAATAATATCTTGGCTCGAGATTTCAACATAAATCTTACAATTTGAAAAAAATTGCGAATCTAATCGAGGACATGCTGAATTATTTATATCCAAAAAACAACGACTACCTATCTAATTACGACAACAAAATTGTTTCTTCTCAACATTCCGCTATTAGACAAGGAGCTACTGACAATTTTATTTAACGGAAGGACTTATAGCTAGTAACCATTTTAAATTGTAGATAAACCTCATCTGAACACACAACTTCGGTCAGTCAGTTGAAAGCCGTTGCTTTCTATACAAAAATTTAGTGCAATCAATTTGAAATAGCATTAAGCTTCGTATGTACCTCATAGAGACACGTTAATATGTAAGAAGATTAAACGGCTGTTAAAAGCTCAGAGAATCAAAGTCGTATTTCCCTTTTAGTATCTGCCGTTCTCAAACTAAGTTATTTTTATCTTTTCAATGCATTATTTTTGGCTAATTTAACTATTTTATAACAGAACTAGGATGTATAAACATATTGCATAGCTTTTATAT